CACCCGCAGTCAATTCAGGGAGACTCAATTAACACATCTGTGAATCCTGGGCCTGTTTTTGTTTCCTGTAACCAAAGCTGGTTATTTGTTGTATATTTTTAGTGTCATGACCTTTAGTTTTTGGTATGTGGTATGATCTTTTAGCGTAAGTTTGCATTTAAAGGTTATTGATGGGTATCTAATAAAGGCAAAAGTTTGCGGGGTTTTTTTTGTTTGTTTGTTTGTTTTTAACATTTAGCTTTGGAAACAGAAGTTTAAACAGAAAAAAGGTATCTCCGGTCAATGGGCAGTTGGCCCATCTGGCTGCAACCCCTGTGACCACATTTCCCACCATTACCTCAAGAACCCTATGGTACTGTATCAAATCAGCAAGAAGAGTTGTAACCTTGTCCTCTCCCCAGTATCAGGCATGGTTTAGGTGTCAGATTTCCAAAGCTGTGATCTCAGTAGGCTTCTAGCCAGATGATTTTCATACATGTTCAGTAGTGCAATGAAGTCCATCTTTGAAACTCTAGTTAAAACAGTGGAGGAAATCTCATACTTGTCTGACACTTCTTTCTCCTCCCCTCTCCCCTCCATTTTATGTTTTCTTCTGGACATCCTGGCCTTCCCCACCCTGCAGAGCATACCTGGATGTCCAGGCAAGACTGGGCGAAGTTTCTGAGTGGCCCTTTGTTTAGGTGATGTCCTCAGACCTGGACCCCCACCAGCCTCACTCCCCATCCCAACCAGAGATGGCTCACTTCGGATCGAGGGTTGACTACATCTCATCATCTCACGAATCTGCTGTAATATAAGACAACAGCTTTTAAATGTGTATATAACCCATGATTTCAGTTTGTTTTGTTTTGTTTTTCTTGATGGTTTCCCTCTCCCTCCCTCTCTTCCCATTCTCCTTTTAAATCTCTTTGAATCACATTTGGTAGTGATTTTGACTTAGTCCAGTAGTCACATAGCTTTAATATCTAGTTCAAAGCTAACCATAGTATAATTGTTATATTAAGGAGTTATTTTTTCTTAAAAAATTTTTTTTTGCTTGTTTTGGTTCTGTTCTCACTTTTAAAGGATGCTGAGATGGTAATATTACTCTCCCTATTTTGGTACCAATTCTGAGACTGTATGAATTTTCAGGTGGAACTTGAGCACACACTGAAGCAAAGTTGTGAAGTGCGGGGCGGGAGGTGGGCATGAGCTTTCTATTTTGCGTTGTAGAAGAAGTGAGATGTAGTAAGCTAATTAACAGACTCTCTAGCAGTTCTTTTTGTGATGTCTCTTTGTTAATCTGAGTCTATCTATTTTCGGCAATAAGGTAAGGACGACAGTGTTTTGGGTGTCCTCCTTTTCTATAAGTGCTTTTTTTCTGTTGAAAGAGGTGATATTATAAGGTTTTTTGAAATTGTGAATTCTAAAAAAGAAATGTTGTAAATACAATTCCATTAACTACATAGAAACTATTAAGAAAGAGAGAATCAAAAATATTTTTGTGAGGGAGTCGGTCCCAGGCAGTTTGATGCTCTGTGGAAGGAGGCGGGAAGGGAACGTTGGCCAAGTCAGTTACTGAGATGAAGATCGCCCAGCTGCCAGGACCACCCCAGGACAAGTTAGAGCACTGTTTAGCTCCTTTGTCTGTGTGATAGACCTAAGAACTGTATTAGTGTTGTACCAGCCTATTAACCTCTTGTCTGTGCACAGCTTCAAATGTTACCGTCTAGTTAGATTTTTATTTAAAATATGAAAAACTGCTTTTCCCAAGACGTTTTTTAAAAACAAAGCTACAATTTTAATATTTAACATATTTAAAGTTTCAAAGCACACCTGTTTGGCTTGGGTGGGGGTGGGGTGGGGGGGATATTCTTTTTCAGTCTTAATTTTTAAATATTTGATCATTTTCTATTGTCCAATCATTTCAGCACCTCCAAAGGTTCCTAGGACACTTTGCCTCTCTTCTCCCCCTGCTCCCCACCCCGCTCCCAGATCTGGGGGCCCATGGGCCAGGAGTGGATAAGCCTGCATTAATACAACCTTTCTCCATTCACTTTCTATTTACAAATTAGGAAAGCAACCTTTTGGTTTATATATTTTTTTTAATACCTCAGTGCTGCAAGTATCACCAGAGAGGCTATGGAAGAATTTTTTTTTTAATTTATTGTAGATGTAAACAGAATTTTAAAAATAAAAAGTATAAACATCACTGCACTGTGACTGGTGGGAAAAACTGACAGTTTCCTCTTTGCACATGTTTAACATTTGGCTGTTATAATATATGGTCCTCGGTTGGGGAAAGATACTTATGATGAAGGATATTTTTTAATTTAACTTTTTTTTAAATATTGGTAATAGGTCGGCAACAGCAACTATAGAAGTACAACTCAATAGATGGCATTAAAACATATTGTAGTGTGGATATATATTTTTTCTTTTTTAAAATGTGATATTGACGTTTTATTAATATTTTTTAAATTGTTACGTTTATAAATTTGGTACTTAAGGCACAGCCAGTATGAGACACTGAATGCGACATTTATTATAAAGAGCTGCTGCACTCCTATTTTTATAAATTTTACTAACAAAGTAGACTAATGTAGACATTCACAGACATGGTAGGGCAAAAGCATCTTCAAACTAAAGACTCCAAAATGCTAACTCAGAAAGAAAGAAAAAAGCCTTTTTCAATTCTAATGAAACAGCAACAACATTTTTTTTTTAATTAAAAAAAAAATCATGTTCTTTGTTTTTCTAATAAAATGTTAGGTTGTTTGGTGAGGTTTTTTTATTGCTTTTTTCCTTTCTTTGTTTCTTTTCTTTTCCCCCAAACAACCAGATTAAATGCTGAGCGCTTTTAAAATATCAAAACTTGTTCAAGTCATAAAACAACAAAACAGAAGTTTTATTTAAAAAAAAAAAAAAAAGAAAAGAAAGAAAAAATAGTAAATTCCCAGAAATTCAGTGTTTAGACGAGGGAATTTAATTCCTATTTTGTCCATGTTGGTGATGTACTGTACTTCCCTTCCTTTTCTCTGCATCCCCCATCACCTCATAGAAGACTCTTTGTTGATCATTGTATGTTAATAATGTATAAAATGGCTATCTTGTAAGCGTGCTGTCCTGGTACTAGTGTAGCGACTTTTTTTCTCCTCTTTCTTCTAGTACATATTGATAGGTATAACATAATTAAGGTTTAAAAAAATTAGACATAGTTATTCAGATTTAGGACCAGTAAGGATAGAACTTTCTCTTATTTATGAAAAAAAAAAAGCTAATAATTTTGGGGCAGTTTTTTCCTTTAATTATTTTTTTCAATTTCAAGTTTAATTTTATTTTAGCTGATCTGATGTGGTTTCAACTAACCCAAGGTCTCACCATGTTAAAATGCCGGCGGACTCTACGGCGTTTTGTAGATTCCCCCCCCCCCCCACTGTGAAGGGGTGCCATACTACCTTAAATGCTAACGCTAGATATGCAAAACTGGATTTTTTTAATTTATTTTTTAAAAGAGGGAGGCATGGTATATTAAAATGATTTTACTAAGAGAAAAATATTTTTTTAAGAATGCTCAGAAGAAATTGATAATCTGTGTGAATATGTTTTAGATGTTTATATACCTTTTGAAGAGACCCAGTAGCCCATAGCACAAATCTTGTGGAAATCCGATATGTTTTAATGTGGCTACCTAGGTTTAAGGTTCACGTTAGTCCCCCCATCCATCTAGAAGTCCATTTTGAAAGATTTTTGTAAATTCTTTTAGCACTGATGTTCAGCCTTGTCTTTGTTTCAGTTAAGCTCAATGGCGAACATGGGAACCACCTTTCGCCTTCCCTGGGGGAGAAACCCTCTTGGCTGATGGCTTTTCCCCGGAATTATCAAACAGCCACCGGGTGACTTTCTGGCTTCCAGATCCATCTGCCTGAGACCCCCAAACTCCTCTCCTCCCAAGCAGAGGCGAGTGAGTGGCATTAGCTCCCGGACCCATTCCCGGTTCTAGCTGGGCATGGGGCTGACGGATATGACCAAGCCTTGGTCTGCTCTCTAGCAGCTTCCACAGACTTGGCTCGTGGCCTTCCTCATATCCATTGGGAAAACCAAACAGCCTCGCGCTCTATCCCAGTCGCCCATTAGCTTGATTCAAACGAAGCCCCAGCAGGCCTTTGCGTTTTTATCCTTCATAACCTTCATCTTAATTTGAACTCGTAGCTTGGACTTTAAGGTAGCATGGCTCTATTGCTGTCAATTTACTGTTTCACTGCACAGCAATCACAGCCAGTGAATGTTACACACATCTTGCTAGACTAGTATAAAAATCATTGGGTAATTGTTGGTTCTAATGACCTGAAAGGTGTTCAGTTTTTGTTCTTGGTTTTGTTTTGTTTTTGATTTCTTGGGGGTGGGTTTTGCTTGTTGTTCTTTTTCATTTGGGGATTTTGGGGGAAAAAATTTTATTTTTGGTTCCAAATAGAAAAACAAAACCTATTTTGATCTTTAGTGCAAACGAGGGCTAGGGACTTAGCCTCCTCCACCACCTCCACACTGCTTCATTCTGCCATTCACTCACTGCAGCATATTCAAGAATAAAGCAATATCGTTTACTACATTTTTTATTGAAGGTCAGCCATGCTTTCTGTATTATATTGCATATGAAATTGTTTACAAAAGAAACACTAACTCATACTTCTCTTTATCGGTTGCAAGTGGCACGCAGGGACAGAGGGAGAGTGGGGGGCTGGTGGGGGAAGGGAGATTTTTTTTTTTTTTTCTTGAATGTGCTTCACAAGCCAGGCTATCTTCCAAGGGAGGCAGACAGTGGGTAGAGCAGAGGGACTGACTGCAGGCAAGCACATTGAAGAAAGACACTGGCGGGTTTCCCCACCCTCACCCCAAAGCAGACAACTAGCAGACGTCAGCTCAGCCCTGTCCTGGGCACAGACACTACACAAGGAGACGCTGGAAGTTAAGCAATACTTTAATACTGTAATATGTTTGTTTTCTTTTTCTTTTTTTTTTTTTCCACCAAAAAAAAGTAAGTAAACTAAAACACAAAAACATATAAATAAAATCCACCCCTCTTGTCGGGGGCTGGGGGGGCAACCTTAATCCAAACACCTGGCTATCAAATAATCAGAATGTATTGTCTCAGACAGGATTTCAGTTCCGGGAGGCAGGGGCATGATGGGGGAGGGGGCTGGAGGCTGAGAGACAAAAGTTCCAGAGCCTCCCTCGAAGGTTCTCTACTACTGTATTCTGTACATAATGTACCATCCCGTGTGGAATCTGTGAGTGTCCTCTTAAGTAGCGTGGGCTAGCCAATCTGCCGTTCATGGTGTATTGTAAACTCCGAATTCCATATGTAATAGGATGCAAGTCTAAGCGTTTCATGTGGACATAAATGTATCTAAATAAAACTTTCCCTAGCACTGTGGCTGACCTCACCCTTACTTTTATACTTTAGTATGAAACTGATGAGAACTTTGGTAGTGAGTATTTTTTTTATATATATACATATATATGTATCTATCTATATATATATCTCAAGCATCTTTCAGGTCTTTGTGTGTGGCTTTCTTAAAGCCCTGTTGTAAAAAATTACTATGTGGATGGCAGTCTCTCACATCACAGATGTGGAAAGTATAATTTTATATTTGTATTTTCAAATAAATAAGTTTGTGAAAGGTTTCCATCCTCTACTGTGGTCCAGAAATCAATGTGTTTGTCTGACAAAAAAAAAAATAAAATAAAATAAACTGTTTTGAACAGAGTTGTTTGGTATTCTTTCGCTTGCAGAGGAGGGCTGGGCTCCGGGAGACCTGTTGTTTTGCTTGAGTGGGAGAGGATCTCATCAAATAGCACCTGCCACCCTCACCCCTCAGCGTGAATGTTGGCCACAGGCCTCCAGCAGGGAAGAAGCCCCTGCCTTGTCCCCAGGGAGCTTGTGGCACCATTTTTATGAAGTGGCAAGAGAGCACTAAGATGGAAGAGCAGATGGGAGAGTGACGTAGATTAACAGCAGAAGGCACACAGAACCCATGGGTGGACAGGGAATAAACCCCAAAGGTCCTGCAGATCAGAGGACCCAGATGGTGGAAGGAGCTAAGGGGCTTTCCTGGGTGCTGTCCTCAGTTATCAACAGCACGTGGGAGAAGGCGCCAAACCACATTCCACAACCCTTGAGTAGGGATCTGAACAGGTATCAGACCTCTGCCCTCAAGGAGGTTAAAGTTTTGCCTACTGGAAATCAGCAGAATCGCAAAACTAAAGATGTAGAGATAGATCATCTGCAATACTTTCCACCCCTCTCTCTACCAAACAAATGACAGGATACAAAAGAATTGACACCCAGTACATTGAGGGCAAGTCCCAAGACCTGATGATGACAGCTACAGCATGCTCTGAATCAGTGGATTCCTCAGCTTCGAAGCCCTGGAGAGAAACACCAGGCCAAGAGGTGTGCAAGGGATGAAGCGTGGATGAAGGACAATGCCTGCCAGTGTCCCTTAGCTGCTTCCTCAAGGCCCCCAGGAAAGCTGTGGTCTCCAGGACATGGCCTTCTTGGGTCCCTCCTCCAACTTCCTGTCTCCTGCATATAACAAATTTATCTTTTTTGTAAAATGGGCTTTCCAGTGAAAACCAGAAAACCAGCTAGACAAGATTCTTTAAAAAAGCTGAAGCACTAACAATTTTAAGGTATTCTCGCTACACTGGGGTCCTAGAGGAGACAGTAGAAGATGCATTCCTTTATCTGGAGCTGGAGGCAGGAGCACTGGGTTCCAGGCCCACCTCCTGTGTGTCCACAGACAGCCCTCCACAGTGTCTCGTTACATTGTTTAAGGGCAGGAGAGAAGAGTATAATCCCTGCTGCCCCACAGAAATGAAAGACCAATGGGAGCTGACGTGAGAAATCCCCTTTAGGAATTCTGAGAGAAGTGAGCCAGACACATGAGGCCGGCCATTGTGGCCATCTTCCTCATCCTGATTGCTCAGCTCAAAGAAGGGGGAGGCCCAAACCCAGCCCAGGAGCCTAAGGAGAGACAGAGCAGGGAACAGGAGCACCAACTGTATGCCAAGTGGATCATACATGTGCCCTGGTTAGTCCCACATGTGCCACATGACTATCTACATTGTAACGGTCAAATAAGGTGGATAATTTGCCCATGGTTGTACAACTGCAGAGTGGCAGAATGGAAGCCTATCTCCAATACATCCTGCTGCCCCGGGTTCAAGCCTGGTGACAAATATCAGCATCAGTGTTGAGTGTGCCTGGGAGGGTGGGAGTGAGGCTTCTAACCTAAGTGCCTACCTGAGTCAACAAAATGCACCAAAAAAAGGCAGGACAATACCAAGCTAGAGAACAACAAACTTTCCTGTTTTAATGTTTCATGGAGGAAAAAAAAAAAAAAAATAGAAAACAAATCAGCAAAAACTAGAAGGAAAAAGAAGAAACAACAATGTAAAATAAATAATACACAAAGTAGGATAGAAGGAATGAGATCAATTGAATCCACCATTATCTAAATATGAATGGGTTGAATTTTCTATCATTACAAAATAGATGTGTTTAGAAAAAACAAAACCCAGTTATGTGCTAGGTATAGAAACACACTTAAAGTGATGAAAATGGCTAACAATAAAGGGGTGACAAAGAGAAAATAGGCAAATACAAAAAACAAGGGCGAGAACTGAAATGTCAGTATCAGAGTGGAATTTAAGGTTAAAAATACTCCGCAGCATATTATGTAATGACAAAAGACACAATCTATTAAGAAGATATAGTGGCAGTAAACTCTATGTCCCAATTATCAGAGGAACTGAATACTTTAAATCAAAAGCCACTAGAAATGCAGGGAACTTGATAAAAAGTAAAAATACAATTAGAGAAATTAATATACCTCTCTTAGAACTAGATATAATCAATAGACAAAAAATAAAGACATAGAAGAATTGAATAATGCAACTAGTAAGCCTGATGTGATGGCTCTATATAACCTGATCTGATGGCTCTTTGAATAGAGGTTGCACATTTTTTTTGGTTAATATTCATGGAACATAAAAATCAAATAAATTTTGGCCAGCAGCACCCCCACCCAAAAAAAAATTTAGAAACGAATAATTAACATGTGACTATAAATATTGTAACTGTGTAAAAATTAAGAAACATTCTGTTGGATCAGAGAGAAAAGTTAAAGAAGATTACAAACTGCCAAAAAGCAACAGAAAACACACATTATACCCAAACTTGATAGCATATAGCCAAAGCTGTACTCAGAGGAAAAGTGTAAACTTGAAATGCCTTCAGATGGAATTTTTTTTTGGGTGAAGGAATATATTACTTATTCTCCTTAATAAGGTAGCAAATAGCAACCAAAAAAAAATACTAGAAAAAGAAATTGATAAATAGAAGTTGAAAGCGATAGAATAGAAAACATAAGTCCAAAAGCTGTATGTTTATAAACAGTAATAAAATAGACAAACTCCTCTGAATAAAGGAGAAATGAGCAAAAATATACAATATGAAGAATATGAAAGGAGATAACAGAGAAAAGCATGAATATTGGCAACAAACCAAAAAATTCAGGGGAATCAGAAAATTTCCTAGCAAATATAAATTACAAAAACTAGTAAGAAGTGGAAAACCAGGATAAACTTATTATCATAAAAGATACTGAAATGATAAATAAAGATATACTGAAAAATAGACTGGATCCAAATGAGTTTTATCTAACTAATAATTCCAGTACCATTTAAACTATTCCAGATGATAGAGAAGTATGGAAAGAAAGCTCTCCTGTTTTATTAAACACATGGCTTTGATGTCAAAACCCAATACAGTAATAAAACAAAAAATGTATCTACAGACTTAGGAGCTCAGATGTAAAATTTTGAAATATGATTTTAGCTAGTAGAATTCTACAGTATATCAAGAGTGTAATTTAATATGGCCAAGCAGGACTTCTTTCAAGAATTCAAGGACACTTCAACATCAGGAAATCTGTCAACATCTGTTTTACTAGCAAACTAAAGGAGGAAAACCATATGACCATAATAATACATGCTGATAAAGTATTTGAAAAATATGGCAGCTTTTTCTAATAACACCATGGAAAGTTGAAACAGAAAACACTGTTTACCAAAAGACTATTAATATTTGCCAAACCAACATTAATTATTCTAAATTGTGAAACACAAAACCTATTTCTGTTAAAATAAGGAACTTGTTGTAGTGGTGCTGCTGTCACTATTATTACCTTAAACCTTCTAAAAAATAAGGTAACAAAAGACATAAACATTGGGAGGAAAAGACAAAGATGATTTTATTTCTAGAAATTTCAAAAGACTGCAGTAAAAGAAAATGAATACAGAAAAATTGCTACTAAAATTCATGAAAACTTTGGCAGGATGGCTGCATGTAAGATAAATATACAAAAACCACTAGGCCTCCTCCTCTCCAGTAATAAGCACTTAGTAATGGAAATAGGAAAAAAATATTTAAGGATAAACTTTATAAGAGAAGTATATGCATTATAATAATGGTTGAATTCCCCATCACTAGGAAAATTATGGACTAACGTATCAATATACATCATATCATAGAAAATTAGGCTGCCATTAGAACAGGTAACCCCAGAGTCTAACAAGTGGCTTGAAGAAATTTATGAAGCACAGTTGAATAAGGTAAAATATCTTTGAAAAATACATATATATGTATGTGTATGTATAAATGTACACATACACAAATTAAAACTCCTACATATGTATATATGTGAAGATACATATGTGTATATACATCACATGTATGATGACATGGGCACAAAGAAAAGGGTACACTCCAGGTTGTTTACATGGGCTCCTGGGATGTGGGGCTGAGAAATAAGACAAGTGGGAGAGGAGAATAGGAAGAGGTGACATGCCGAAAAATACATGTTTTAAGATTTCACTGAAAATTCTGTAAGATAAAATTTAAAAAAAATTTTAAGTGTGACTATATGAAAATAAAATTTTAAAACAAAAGTATTTTTAAAAGAGCTGGGATCCACATTCCAGTAATAATAATTACATCTTGACTGGTGAAATGGGGAAGAGGTAAGTGGTCAAAGAGAATTCTGGCTTTTCCTGTCCTTTTTAATTTTTCAAAAGAAGTGTGAATTTGTATATTCAGTTGAGATAAAATTAACTTTAAAATTAGCTGTCTAAAAAAGGGAATACAAGAACGTCTGGGAAGAGAGAATCAATTGTATGCAGAGATATGTGGGTTTTCTCTTATTTTTTTTTTATTATACTTTAAGTTCCAGGGTACATGTGCTTGTTAATAGTACGTTCTCTCTCTCTAGATTTTAAAAGAAAAAATATGTATCACTTTTTCATTTACAAAGTATTTCCATTTTTTAAATAATAAAATATGAACTGAGTTAGTAAAAAAAGAAAAGGGTAAGCAATGATTTTGATAGAAGGAGCGAAAGGTAGCTAGGAGCATGCCAAAAGAGTCCTGTGGTCAGGAAGCTGCAGGGGCAGTGATATCCCTCTGGGAGAACCTGGTTTCATGTAAGCACTAAATACAATAGGTTCACGGCCACAATCCTTCCTACCTTCCAAAGACAATAATGCATTTTTTAAATCAGATACATTGAGGTATAAAATTACATATAATGCAGTGCATCCATTTTAAGTGCACAATGCCATGAGTTTTGACAAATGTATACTATACACCTGTTTAACTCCCTGCATAGTCAAAATAGAGAACCTTTCCATCACTTCAAAAA